AATCTAAACCTATTTTAATAGCTTGGCATGATTTGTTATTTGCTTTAGCCATTAATGTCAGGTCAACTGCAAAAAACAAGTGAAAAATTTGGGTTTCTTTTTCCTATAGTGATAGGATCTAATTTACGAATATCTACTTGATGATTAATATACCTAGACAACATTTCCATACATAGGATAAAAATATAAGGTGATATAGGATCACCTTGCCTTATCCCTCGACTTGGTTCAAAATATTTTGTGATAGAACCATTAACTAGTATTGCTATAAAGCTGGTTGTAATACAATTCAATAATAGCTTGGAGAATTTGGGAGAGAAATTAAAGTATCTAAGAATGCGGTATACAAAGGACCATTCTAAACGATCAAAAGCCTTTTCAAGATCATATGGCCTTGTTTACCTTTTATTTTTTTTGAGATTGGAAACTAGTTTCTGAATAATGATTGCATTATCTGAGACTTTTCTATGCTTCATGAAACTAGTCTGGAAAGGACTAATAATTTGCTCTAGGAAGGGTCTGAGACGGTTTGCAAGAATTTTGGTAATTGTTCTGTAAATAGTATTACAAAGGCCAATAGGTCTAAAGTTTTTGATATTATTGGCATTAGGCATTTTTGGGATAAGGTAAAGATAGGTTTTGTTTATATCTTTAGGAATTTCTTGATTTTTATAAATATCATGACAAAGATTCTTGACAAATTGCCCTATGATGTTCCAATATTTTTGGAAGAAAAAAGGTTGAGGCCATCTGGCCCTGGGGCTTTGAAAGGCTTAACTGAAAAATTTACCCTCTTGATTTCACTATATGATAGAGGACTGTCTAGATTAGTAAGGTCTAATTTATGATGACTAGGATGACTTCTTACTATACTATTCCAATTTGTAGAAGAATGAGAGGTGGCAAAAATATCAGTAAAGTAATTTAAAACGTGTGACATGATCAAGTGGTGTTCGTTAAGCCAATTTTCAGCATCACCTTTAAAGTAGGTGATTCTATTTCTCCTTCTTCTATTTGATGTTGATATGTGGAAAAATCTAGTGTTAGCATCTCCTTCATTAAGCCACATTATCCTAGATCTCATTTTCCATTAATCCTCCTCTATTTTAAAGATGCTACTGAAATCCTTCTTTAGATTATATTCTATTAATATCCGAAGGAAATCACTATGAGTATAGTTACTAGATTTTTGAATTCCTTGAAGCCTTGCTAGAATTTTCCTTTTCTTTCCTATTATGTCACCAAAAGTCTTATCCTTCCAAGGCTTAACACTATCCACAAAGTTTTTACTGTAGTCTACTCCATACCAATTGTTTCTATTAAGTGTTTGACACTCAGGATGCTTACACCAAAAAGTTTCTAATTAGAAAGGTTGTTTATGACCTTGTCTATTTCTAGGAATTAGTTCTAATAAAATAAGATTATGGTAGGAAGATGAATTACTGAACAACTCGGAAATAATTCTATCCACTCTTCATTTTCTAAAATTTTATCTAGTCTTTCTATAACAAGGCCTTTTATTCTTTGACTATAATTTGAGCACGTATATTTGTAACCTTTATAGCCAATATCCAATAGGTTAGAATTATTAATTTTTGACGATAGGAAGTTAGCTCTATTATTTTTATTTTTTTGGTAACTATAAACTTTATTTACCAAAAAGCACATTTACAACACAAGAAAAGAAAAACAAACTATCTTAAAGAGCCACTGGCAGGCGTGGGATTGGTGTATTGGTTGTTGTGTATTTAAAGAGCCACTGGCAGGCGTGGGATTAGAGTTACCAGTGGTGAGAGAGAGATTGATAGGGTAATGATTGGATCTTAAATTTGCATGTCGCTTGAATGGCCAAGAGTTTGTTTTATAGCTCGATATTCCACGGATATAGTACCAATTCCGTGTTCGAGGGGTGAAGCCATTTGTTCTTCACTAGAATCTTTAGAGGACATTTGGACGACATGCTTTTAGGGGGGGGGGGGG